ATTTCTTTCTTTCATTTTTATATCAATAATTGATATATCATTGGATTGCAATGTAAACTAAATATTAAACATGTCCTTAAATGCCTTAAGCAAACAATAATTAATTAAAGGAGCACAATTGTAAGCATTAATCTTGAATTTATTTTCCCACTTTTTACACAATTTTGGCTTCATTTCTCCGACAATGACTGCATTGCTTCTGAAATGATAAAGAAAATGATTAAAAATGAAGAGGTCCCAATGTGATAATAATAACATGTATTTTTAATTAAAATATATTATCACAAAAAGTAATAACCTTGAACACTTAAGAAATTTCTTCTTTAGATCTCTTCCTAATTTCCCAGCCCCTTGGACCATGGTCATATGTTTTGGAATTATTTCACGTTTAAACACGGGTGGAGTCTACAATGTAAAGTTTCTGCTGATTGAGCTGTCGTAGAAAATAAACTCGTGTAATCTAGTTTTATATAATGTGATTAAAACTATATAAAATATTATATTGTTAAAAGTTAACGTTGACAAAGACTACGAAAGACAGGGGACAGACTTCAATCCGAAAAGCTCATGCTTCGTTCAAGCCTTCGGCTCAGGTGAGCTAATAAGCGTTCGGCTCAGGAGCGTTTATAAGCAATAACTTTTTCAAAATAATGACAATTGAATTTGGAATGTTCAAATAGTAAATATTAATTCAGATTGCCAAAACTGCAATAGTCATGATTCAGAATGAAATACAAAACATTATTCGTAACAATATATCAGATAATTTTAAGTTTATTACAGAGAGGATACTTACTTACCTTTTTCTTTTAACAGGCTTGGGACCATGGTGTCTGTTCTTCCATTTTATTTATATGAGAGATGTGAATATATTGAAGCTTTAAAGATATCAAATAATTATTCCTGCAGTAAATGTTCATATCTAACTACAACAGAGCTTTTTGTTTCTCTACTGTTGAAAAAAAAAATAAAAATGTCGATTGATATATAAATAATCAATGGATGAACTCATAACTATTGGATTTTTTTAATTTTCTTTAATTGCATAAAATTGAATATACACATTTTGTTCTTGTTTTTCTTTTGACAATTGTAAATCATAAACACATAACGAGTACCTTGTATGTCCGCTTTAGGTAAAATGTATCCCCAAGTAGATATTGTGTTTTTATGGCCGGAAAGTTCACCCAAAAACTTACATAAAACTAATAGTTTTTTTTAAATGTGCTTGGATCGATCTGAAAAAAAGAGTTGGATTTTTTTTAAGTAAAAGAAGCCATTAAATAATGTAGCAAAAAATTACAAAAAAAAAAAAATTTCTCAAGATATGTTCTTTCATTAAATAGTCTTTACTGGTAAACACTTTGATTATTATTGTATGTGCCTGATTTGTCATAACGCAATCGACAGTAAAATTGGCATCGGAACAATGACTTTGTTCAACCGTCAGTCAAATCAATATTGAGTTCTTTGAATAAAAACGGCTCTATGACGCTGAACTTCATTTGTTTAATTCATAGGCCTAAAAAACAAACATAACAATGTTTCTACTCTAACTTTCATATCAAGGTCGTGTATATTATGCAATCATAACTGTTGAAAAGGGAGCACAAAGAGGAATTTTTGTTGTGAGCTTTATTGTGCCCTAAAAATGTGATGTCATCAAAAACTTTTGAAACAAGCTTAATATTAGTTAAGAATATGACTGTAATAAATCAGGAAAGAATATTGCATGAAGAACTACCATTCTGCAAATATGATGTCACTCACGTTATGCATTTCCCTATTTTAAGCAGAAAAAGCCTCAAAATGGCCCCTTCCAAGGGAAATTAGACTTAAGAAATTGTGTCCACAGCCGTCGTCCAATTTAATTTTTTATATATTGTGCAACAGTCAATAATAAAACCCCTCTTATCTCGAAATCTTTGGGGGTGATGCCTGTGGTCAACATTATCCGAGGAAAATTCAATTGAAAATTCGTACCTTCTGCAACTTAAAAAAAAACAAAACGGAAAATGCACAAGTTTATAATGTCACAATTAGCATTTAAAAGCAAATGTAAAAAAAAAAAAAAGATTTGCACGATTTTTCTGCATGGAATTTCAATCATTCAAAACGTATGAATTTTCGTCTTTCGTACAAGTTTCATTTTTCTTTTGACAAAATTACAGGGCAAGATTTTTAAAGAAAGGATGCCTTGTTCTTTATATGAAAAAATGTCAATGGGAGATCCATATGGTGTTTCCATTCATCACAAACGAATCTCAGATTTCCTACCGCATAATGCCTATAATTTAACAAATATGGTTACTTGTTAATAGGAATACTGCTATAAAAAAGTTTACACTCATCTCTGTAACAGTAATGAAATTATTTTAGCACCATGAACTAAAAATCTTCAAAACCAAATCAGAACGGTTTAAAATTACATTACATTTTTATTTGATAAATTTTGTTTTGAAAAAAGATTTTGTGAAGAGTTGAAGAGGATTTCGGTGGGGAAGCAGAGTAACAGAGAAGTTATCATTCCTTTTTATGCGACCTTCTTCAAGAAATGATCATCTAGATTCTTGTAAATAAATATGCATTCAGATGCATTTTAATCAATACTATGGAAAATTCATATGTTCATTTTATGGTTCTCAAAACAAATGGCGAATATATACGTTGCAATTTTACCTGTGTTAGAATACTGCTTATTTTAATTCAACCTCTGATTTCTCCTTCTTCATTACATATCATATCAAAAATATTTCCTGGAAATTAATATTTATTACTATGTATCAGTGTGTGAAGACGGGACGTATGCCTCTAATGATCTATGCGAACAATGTGGACACTGTAAGGGAGACACAGCATGTGACAAAGGAACGGGAAGATGTCCGTCAGGATGTAAGGAAAACTGGACCGGGGATCATTGTAAAGGTATGTAAATGTATGTTTTATGATTTACAGTTTCCAAGGTACTTCATCATCTGAAATTATCCAGAATCAGTGACTTATAGCCTGTTCTGTTTTCGGTTTTGATTTCAGGTTTTATAGGTCGATCTGCGTTCATTATCTCTACTAGTACATGTAATATAACCTACCATAGCAATCACAAATACATATCATCTTTTTTTGATATTTGATACATGTACAAACTGTTTATACTTTACGCGCAATCAGCTGTATACCAAGGTTATTTCCCTTTCTATTCTTAATAGTCAGTAACAAAGTTTAACACAGAAAAAAAGTGTTAAGGCACTCCTTCGAAATGTGGAAGACTTGTTCAATTTGGGCTCATGAAATCGTGTTAAAATTATTGTGTAAACACGATTACATGCAGTAAAGCACATATAGTCAATCGAAAAGCGTCCTAAATTAACAGCAGGAAAAACAGTTCGTTGGAAGGATCCTAAAAATTATTACCTCAGTAAGCATTTGACTTTAAAATAATTTTTATTTTCGGACAAGGTATCGACACTTGAATTATAAAATGATGACTTTAAACGAGACTCCTGTTATTCCTGTCTAAAAATAATTTCTAAATAATTTACTTCGTTTATAAAATTTTTATACGTAGAGCATGTTCTTGCATATGGAATGAACTAAGACATATAAACATCGTATGCAGGTCATGAAGGCATATTTCTGCATATATAAGTAAGGGAAGTTGACGATTGAAAAGTTAAAGTCTTCAGGTGTATAATTTATTAAATCAATTGGTTGTGTGATTATAATTAACGTGTTCCTTGAAATAAAATATCTAACAATGAGACAGATGTCGAACTTGATGGTATCTTTCAATTTAAGCTCACCTGATATATATATATATATATATATATATATATATATATATATATATATATATATATATATATATATATATATATATATATATATATATATATATATATATATATATATATATATATATCGTATCGACAAACATATAGGAATTAATTCTTAATTGCAAAATTTTTTTTTACAAATCTTGTTGTTTCTTGGTACACAGGAGGTCTGCTAAAACATTATTTGTTTTGGTTAGGAAATTCTAATTGACAGAATCCATCACAACTTGAGGTTAGTTGTGACTCTGTTTCTGATTTACGATGCGTCGTCGATATATCTAGATATCAAAATGAAACATCAAGTGTTTCCTTTTTTACACGTTTAAGATTTTGGACAGGTTTTGCTTCATATGAATGCAAAAAAAGATCTGCTCATGACGAAGCCTAAGCTTTAGAAACCCAATTAATTATCTGAAGACCTGGTTTCGCAAAACCACATACTGTAAAAGCACAAATATTCGTGGGGGATTAAATTTCGTTTATTTCGTTGTTAACAATATTCAACGAAATTAAATCCCACACGAAATTTAATATGACTATATATTGAATAGGGTTACTTTCAAAACAACGAAATTAAATGCCCACGAAACTATTTTTGATACAAAACAACGAAATTTTATGCCCACGAAAATTTGTGCTTCTACAGTATACATTATCAACCAGAAACTCGAGCTTCTTTATATTAAGAACTCTAGATTATGAATGTGCACAATCAGAATATTTTTAGCAAAAAATATTGTATATGACTGTCATAAAAATAAATTTAAGATTTCCATTTTATTGATAAAACAGTTGTCAATAATACAAAAAAAAAGCATGGACTTTAATTTTTCAGGGGAATGTCACCTTACTTTTCTAATTCATTTTGTTATATTATTCAATTACATTCTGTCACACATAAGTATTTTAAGCTGACAATAAACAATATCATATTAAAAGAATCCCTTACCAATAACTTCTCTGCAAATACATATTGAGAAGCCTGAAAGCATCACTAAGTTCTAAAAGTAAGATTTAGGTAAAACTTTACTTCTTACGTTGAAATTCTACTACCTGATCCTTGAAGAGTTTGCTCGGTAAAAACATGAAATATAAAGGTTCCACAGTTAAAATAGTGAAAACAATGTTCTTTGGAAATTTAATGAACATGAATACTCCTTTTAATAGAATGTGTTGACGGTTACTATGGTGAGGATTGTAGTACTCAATGTGGTAATTGTCAAAGTGGACATTGCGACAAGACGATTGGACATTGTCCATCTGGTTGTAAACTGAACTGGGAAGAACCTTTGTGTCAAGGTAGATATCCAGTTAAACAATGATCAATAAGACAAATTAAATGCCCTCGCTTTACAGGACTTTTTACTTTTAATTGGAATTTTCCCTCCATCTAGTAATAGAAAACAAAGACTGAACAATTTTTAAATCTAAGAATTTCAATATCTGTGTGATGGTAAAAATAAACTCTTTAAATTAAAGAATGTGTTGACGGTTACTATGACCAGAATTGTAGTACCCAGTGTGGAAACTGTCGAGAAGGACTTTGTGACAAGAAAAACGGAAGTTGTTTATCTGGCTGTAAACTAAACTGGAAAGAACCTTTGTGTCAAGGTAACTATTTATTTTTATCACTATGCAATATACTCGGATATACATTTAAAAAAGTATTTGCATTAACATTATTTCTCTATTAGATATTATAGATACAATGGAAGAAAAATGTTTTTTTTGTAAGAAGTTTAATTTATAAGATGCATAAGGAAAATAATACACTATTTCAATTAAAGACTGCGTTGACGGTTACTATGATAAGAACTGTAGTACCAGATGTGGTAATTGTCAAAGTGGACATTGCGACAAGACGACTGGAAATTGTCCATCTGGTTGCAAACTAAACTGGAGAGAGCCTTTTTGTCAAGGTGCATAATCCATTTTTGCAATATTCTATATCTGATTCTTATCCGTTTATAATTAAGAATAAAAAGTGAAAGTTCTTTTAAAAAAATATTGTTTTAAAAGATAAGATGAAATATTTGCAAATTACAAATACACAATGCATTTCTTAGAATGCGTTGACGGTAACTATGGCCGAGATTGCAGTTCTATGTGTGGGAATTGTCGAGAAGGATTTTGTGACAAGAAAAACGGAAGTTGTTTATCTGGCTGTAAAGGGAACTGGGAAGAGCCTTTATGTCAAGGTAGATTCTGAGATTTTTTGTCGAGTCTGACGCATCTGTTTCATACTTGGACAATTTACTTGAAAAAAACGTTAATGGTAATCTTACAACCTAGCTATATGATAAACGTTAAAATTTTAACCTTTTCTTTCATCTATATTTAGGATTCATTTAATATTAGGTGATGACCTTAAACAATATCCAGATTTCACTCGAAGAGTGATTATCACAATTTTAATAAAAAGGTCACATTTAGGTTCGGCAAACAGCGTCAAAATAACAGAAAAAGAAAGAAAGCCCACGTTTGAAGTTCCAAATTGCGGATTTACATGAATGTTTTTAATGACTCGACATTATTCCTTCGTATGATAAGGGGTTTGACTGTACATGTAGTTTTCATTGTGCAATATTTCGTGCATCATAGTAAAAAGAAGCTTATGTACTGCTTAAAAGCAATTTTTTCACTTAATATAAAAAAAAAATATTAAATTAAAAAATTATAGGTTGAAAAATTTAGGTACAATTTCATATATCTGATTTCTAAAGCAATTTTTAACATATAGGCGTCATTGGCGTCATTAAATTGTGTTTTCGAAGTTATGATAATGGAAAGCTCGTACGGAAAGGGATTATAAATATGTTATAAAATAAAAGTAATAAATATATGCTCCTGAATTTCAAAACATAGAAATTTGAGAAACTTCCCTTCATTTTTAATATTTTTTTTTTGTATAAATCCTATGTATGCTTCATATTTTGCAGTACTCTATAAAAACAGGGAAATTCGTTATTTTTTTGGAATTTTGAGATGTCCCCTCTATAAACAAGACGGTAGAATTTTGTGTTTCTTACATGTAATGTACAATATGGCGTTACTCATCAAATATTATGGTTTGAGCAAAAAGTCTATTGTATTACATGTATTTGTATAATTTGCTGAAAAGTGCTAAAAATGGGACTTCCTATACAATCCCATAGTAAATGTGCAAGTATTTTGAGACCGTCCCTTATAAATACCTGGACTGTAGATTTTTCCTAAACTTGGCATATACACTTGAGTCTGCGTAAGTTGCATGTGTACATATATTATAAGATGAAGACTTTAGCTATTGTAGTTTTCACACAGTAAAATCCCAGTCGGCCCCCTAAAAAAATTTGAATTTTTTCTCAAGATGTAGTTGGAGTGAATAGACATTGATCGACCAACCAACAATTGTTTTGTTTTTGTAAATGCGATATCTGCGTTTGGGGACATATTTTGACTCTTTACTGTTAAAAATAAAAAAAAAACATGTTAACATCGATCACATGTTCTTATGATCATAGATATTGTGTCTTTAGATACAGTGTACATGTATGTGCAAAATTAAATTAAAGAAAAATTCCTTAGAAATATAATTTGTACGCTTGATTGGCGGCGGATTTTCCGTTGTTTCCCCATCGTGTCTGAGAGTGCACGTTTGCTGTGTCCGATTGGCGGGGGATGCTCGCTCCTCCGTGGCACTTGGTCCCACCGCTGACGTTTTGGAGGTCCTTGCTTGGTCTGCTCCTGATTTGGATTGTTTAATGGGAATTTGATCTAGAATACTTTTCGTTATATCTACATGTTTCATGTAAGGTTTGCAATAAATGTCCATATTTGTATCCACAATTAATTGCACCATATATAGCAAACATGTAATGTGATGAAATCGAGGACGAATTCAACTGAAAATATAGCGGAAACTCACTATAATTGTAATATACAACTTCTAAAGCGGAATTTATGATTCCCCAAACAGAATCTTTAAAATGTTGATTTTCATATAATGGCATGTTTTTTAGATGGGAAAAGGTTAGTCAAATAGTTCATATAAATACCTGTAGAACAGGTATTACACATAGACTGGTTAATCGAACAGACGAGCCACATAAACACCGAGTCAGCACAGTTCGACGGATACATGAGTTAGGGTAACTCCAATAAACATCATATATTCAAACCCATTGCAATACATTTTTGAAGAAGCGAATACCGTCTAACTTTCTCTCTTCTAACTTTAAAAATCTTTATTTTAGTGTAGCTCATGTTGTTATTCGCAGACACATTTGTGTCCTTGAGCTTTACGACAAATATTTCTTTCCCGGATCTAAAAAGTGGACTTGTCCTTCCATGACTTTTGATAAAGAACACCCAAACTTTTCATTAAAACGAAAATTTTTACCAATTTGATGCGCTTAACTGATTTATGTCTGTATATACATATGTATCTGGTGAAAACTAAGCTAAGTTTTTTTTTTGTAAAAAACACTGACAAACAACGATAAATTACAGTTCATATTTACCTTTTTTGATGAACTTGAACATGGAAAAACATCTGAATTAAAAAGGCAAAGATAAGTCTCTAAAATATGTAGAGAAAATGTCATGAGAATCATTATATCCTTTTTTCTTAATCTAACTGCGGGATTTTGAAATATATTTTAGTAAACTAAAGGCCTTGAGAACATTTAGTATCTGTTAGTGTAAACTGATAGATATATTTTGGAATAGTTAGATAAACATTTTGAAAAATCAATTCCCATGACTTTGTCTAAGAAATATGAATGTTTGACATTTTTAATGTTTACGTTTTGAAAGTTCAACCTCTGTCAATTACAGAATGTGCTGATGGATACTATGATCAGAACTGCAGAACCCATTGTGGAAATTGTCTCAAAGGATTTTGTGACAAGATAAATGGATCTTGTCAATCTGGTTGCAAAGGAAACTGGAATGAACCATTATGCCAAGGTAAACATTAAACACTGAGAGGCAACAATTCTTATTTATGTAATGAGCCAAATGCATAATTCGGTCAATTACTCCCCATAATGTACACGCAGGTATGTTAAGGTTACAACCAAATTTTCTACTTGTCTATATGATATGACGTCATAGTAAGCTATATGACGTGAAGTTTAGAGATAAGAATTTCTTCAATCGATATCTAAAATTGGTTTGAGGTTGTAAAAATGGATCAAAATATGCAAAGGCATAATATAAACGGAATTTTAGTCGTTTCTAGGCCCCTGTAGTTATCACAGGGGTTAAATACTAAACCATAACTGTTTATCATGCAGTAGCATAGTGAAAGTAAAACGTAACGAGAATTCATGTAAAAAAAAACCACAAGAGATCGGAGTTTAAAGGATGTAGAATGAATATCATCTCTGATTCATATGTGAATAAAGCTTACGAATGAGGTATGCTTATATAATTCTACAATTTCTTCGTAAAATTAAAGCAGGCATGGTGTTTGCTTGCCGATCAGCCTTTCCTCTGTCGTTCGTAACAAAAAAGATGCAAAAGTTTAACACTACGCCGCATACTTTGAAACTTAATTTTGGTTTCTATCTAAAGTTCTTATTCTATTGTTTTTGGAAAGTGCTGCTAGAATCGTATGGTTTACGGGAATTGATGCATTTTTTCCGATGTTATGAACAGAATGTAAAATTTTTTAGAAGGTTTCGTCCTAAAGTGATGAATAATTATTTCTTTGATAGGATAGTAGGATTCTAGCAGCACTTTTCGTGGTACAGAGATCTTTTTACATAACAATTATTGCAAATTGAAATTAATTATCCCCGGGGTAGTGTTGAACTTTTCACTTTTTCATTAAGGCATTTTTTCTAATTGTAGACGTCACGTGGTGACGTCGTGGTTAAGTGCGTCCTGTAGTAGAAGTCCCATTGAAGTCTATAGAATGCATAATTATAGCAAAAATTGTATCCTTGACTTTTCCGAAGTATTAGTGTTACAAAATTATAAAAAAGTTTTAATTCGTCGAATTCTGTTCCATGTGCTGCCTTAATCAACCCGCGCAAGCTTCAAAAAACACAGTATGATGTATCACAAATTGTCAGACTTCTTAAAAAATTAATAACAGTTATATTTTTCTTTCACTTCTTTCCATTATCTCTAAGACATAAAAAACAAAGAAAAAGTCTTGGAATTTTTATACTTAAATAGATTGCAGAAGCTGAATCTGTCATAAAATGATTTTTTTAAATTGTCTCTTGTTTATGACAGGAGACAAGCTTTAGCTCAATCGGTAGAGCGTTCGCTCCGTGATCGGGAGGTCGTGAATTCGCATCTCGGCCGCGACTGACCTAGTCGTTAAAATGGATAGCAACTGTTTCTTCGCCATGCGCTCTGCACTTTGAAGTGAAAGTTGCGGATCCTTCGGATGAGACTTTAAAAACCGAGGCCCCGTGTCAGCGGCAGCCGTTGACACGATAGAGATCCCTCACTGCTCAATGGCCCTGAGTGCCGAGTAAAGGTCAAAATTTGAAGCCCTTCACCGACATACGGTAACATTTGCATAGGAGTGAAAATTCTCGAGAGGGACGTTAAACAATATACAATTAATCAATAAATCCATCCCAACATAGAGGAATTACAAGGCTTTTCAAACAATTATAGGATAACTATTGCAATATTTTGAACGATTTTCAAAGTTGGATCGTTGATCATAGGTTACCTCTTTTCTTCCTTACATGAACATTTTGAAGTATTTACGTTCATCTAATTGTGATATCGATAAAAAGCTGACTGATGACTTTTTAGTAACCTTTTTATAAAATATACCTTTTCAGAAACGCGTTTACGTTTTAGTGTTCAACTGTTTTGTGTACATTGTTGACGACTAGCTGACGGCGAAATAGATATCTCGTATTAGAACAAATGAAATTGACATCCTGAGTTTCATTAATATTCGAAGAAAAAAATCGAATTTATTTTTTCATGTACGTATAATCACAAAGACAAAATTTTAGCTTGATATGATTATGTATCAATGAAAATAATGGTGATGATTTCATCGTCAGTACGTGAATATTTTATGTATTTTTTTTAATGAAACAAATTTCATTATGACAATTAAGGCGTGTAATTTGTTAAATTGACATCAATCAGTATTTTCAAAAATACATGTTTTGACTTAATGTTCATTGAATTCAGACATTGACTAGACATTTATTTCTTATTGTATTATACACGACACAATATTTTTCGAACATTTGGTGTAATTAATGAAAACATATATTAAGGTAAAACAGTTTTACACATATTGAATATATTTATTTATTGATTTTTTTTAAAATTATCATTTTTTCAGAATGCGTTGATGGATTTTATGACGAGGAATGCGGAACAATGTGTGGGCACTGTCTTACAGGAGTGTGTGACAAGACAAATGGAACTTGTACGAGTGGATGTTCACTAAACTGGCAGGATCCTTTGTGTCAAGGTAAAAGAGCAAGGGCCACTTAGGGCCTTTCTCACGTCGCAAATCACGGCCGAAATGTACGATCCTCTCCCATTCCGGTCGTGGTTGCATGAGACGAGATTTTCTCGTAGCTCATTAAAGTATTGACCAATGCGAGTAAAGTGTAGTCGGAAATTGACCTTTCAGGCGACCTTTCAATACCCAATCGCAGTTAACGAAATAGTTGTTGTATACTGCTGATGTCAGTTGTTGATTTCAATTGCGATGGAAACAAAATCTGTCATTGACTAAATATGACGTCACAATAGAGAGGCGTGAATTTTCAAGATTACGACACTTTTTGTGATCAAGCAGCCACGGGTAAGAGAGAGCTATATGCGGACTCCGGACCGTGGCCTGAGACGATGGGCCTTTCCTGGCTCTGAGAACTTCTGAAAAATCAGAATTTTTAATTTAGGTTGAAATTGTGGTATTTATCACTTAGACTGTTTGTGACTATGTTTGTATTGTACATGGCCTGATTTCCCGTCTAGTCAATGCACAAATTGAGTCATTTTTTCCAAATCCTGTAAAACATTTAAAAATGGCCTAACGTTGAAGCAATATTTCAATATTTTATAATATGCAATTAAATAATGAAATATTTTTTTCTGAAGATTGACAAGCATGTTTTAATTTTTGGATCGTAGTCTATGCACATATTTTGATTCTTTGCTGAATGTAGTCAAATACGTATGTTTTATGCAAAATTAAAGAACATTGCATTTTCTCAAAGCCTGTTTTCCTATGCTTAAATTCTCAAAAAAGATTTTTTTAATATAGGTAATGAAAGCACTGTCTACTTTATTTTGATATATGAAATGGGAAAGTGGGTGATAGTTTATTAATTGACGTAAGGACAGGATCATTTTTAAATGAACGTTAACCTAGCTCTTTTATTTTACTTGTCCTAAACCTCAACCTTAACGTAAAGTTTTATTTCTTTTTAAATATTAACATACATTTAATAATATTAATAAACAATTATTAATAAATAAATAATAATAATTAGTGATAAATGTACTGTATATTTAACTAAAATATCATTCAGCAATTGTCACTCGATCTTTACTTATTATCTCCTATATTTGTAAGCTAACATATTCTTTTATAAGTTAAAATACGTTCAACAATGCGATTAATTGTGATAAACCAATAGCCTAATCACGAATTCAATACAGTTGTGCACGGAATAACAAATCAAGATAGCGCTTACTAACTGTTGTATATGGAACAACGTAAGGTGCTTTTGGAGTAAATTTTATAATTTTAGAATGTATTGACGGATTTTATAACCAGAATTGCAGTAATCAGTGTGGTAATTGCCAAAGTGAATTTTGTGATAAGAAAAATGGAAGCTGTATAAATGGTTGCAAAACGAACTGGAAGGAACCTCTATGTCAAGGTAAAAAATGTGTCCTACTCTCGGGTTAGAAATATTCCAATAATGTTTTATATTTATAGCACAGTTATAGCAATAAGTACTTTGATAGATGAAATTCCATCGAATCAAAGGAATAAGAATGACTGGTGTTTAGCAAGGTCTTATTATGTGTGATTTGCCGTCCGCTTTATCAAGAGTTTATCCAAACATTTAGACAATTATTCGTTTTAAGAATTGCCAACTGATTTTACATTTTAAGTTAAGTATATATCAGTAAAACATCTGCATTGTTAGAAAAAGGTTTTAAAGTAATCCTTGAAACATTATGATCTTTTCTGTTTGAAGAAATGACTAACATTCATAATTTCATATGGGACCTGATCCCATCTCTGATGTTTTTGTGATCCGTGTTTGCTCTGCTCCTATTTTGTATTATTTCATGGACTTTTGATCCTGAAAACTGTTTCTTATCTCCATATGTTTCATCTTCATATGTTCCATTTTTACAAATTCGCTCCAATGTTTAGAATGTAGTGACGGAATGTATGACCAGAACTGCAGTACCAAATGTGGACATTGTCTAGAAGGATTTTGTGACAAGAGAAATGGAAACTGCCTTACTGGTTGTAAATTGAACTGGAAAGAGCCCCTCTGTAAAGGTTAATGTTTTAAGTTATAATAAGCGATGTGCATTATTGTGAATAAGTTAGATATATGTGTTATTATTCAGAAAAATATGCAAAGAGAAAAAAATGAAGTTGTTTATCTGGTTTTAAACTGAACTGGATTAAACCTTTACGTCAAGGTAGAAACGTGAATTATCACAGCAGACGTATTGTTTGTGTATTTATATTTTACGCTAGGTTTCCTATGTAGTAAATATTTGATCATATCAAAATAGATCTTCTACCATTTTGATTTGATTGTGAATGTTGCAATGGGTATATTTGCAATCTGGTTGATTTTCTAGCTTAAATACTATTGTCTTTATATTTTGCCTCCGTAAAATGTAATGTAAATCCAGATCATTCTTATTTTTGGGGTAAATATATTTGAGATCTCGGACATCTTTATCTTAGACTGCAAGCGTCTCAGATGTAGCAAAAGTCATCATATATAGGGTTTCCAAAGTATGTTACATTTAATATTTATCTAATACTCGTTCTACACAAAGTCTTCAACAATATCATTTTGAAACAGTGCAATAATTGTATCCTATGGGTTGACTTTTAGTCTTTCATTTGCTTTTATCCAGGATTAATGCTTAATTATCTCTATTATTGGCTAAAATTAATTGTTATTCATGAAATGTGTCTCTAGACCGTAAAACGAGAATAATTGGCGCACTACTGATTTTAGCGCCTTTGAAGTCCCTTGACCGTACTCTAATGAAAAAAAAATCAAAATTAGTGATAACTTTTTTCTTCTGAATAACATATGATAAGGTGTTCACTTTAAACAAAATATGCCAAGTAAAGGGCATCTCACCTATAAAACACGAAAACAGGGGAATTTACAACTAAATAATTTTTTACAGATCACTAAAAATTTTATTTTAAACCTACCAACCTGGAAATATTCACATACTCTAGTATTATATATAAGAAAATCGTTATACGGAATATGTAATAATATATTAAAGTCCATTCTACAAGAGCTAAAAACTGTCTTTTCCCAGTTTCTAAAATCTACATATAGAGCTACTTCTTAGATTTCTCTTACATCTATCTTAAATGAAATGCATATTTTCTGTTAGATATTATTTTAACATCATAATATATTATATTTCATAATTTAGAGTGTGTTGACGGATTTTATGACGGGGAGTGCAATAAACATTGTGGACAATGTCTTCGAGGAGTTTGTGATAAGACAGCTGGGACTTGTATGAGTGGATGCTCACCAAACTGGCAGGAACCTTTGTGTCAAGGTAAGGTTTTATTTCTCTGTACATATGAAAGGATAGTGATATGAAGTTGGCATAACAAATACTCTTGAGTTTCTGATTAACAATATCTGTGTGGTTTTTGGAGACCAGGTCTTCAAACTATCTATTTTAATCCCCAATGCCACCTATTGCCCCCCGTTTTGAGCAGACCTATTTTTGCAATATTATGAAGTAGAATTCGCGCAACATCTTATGCGTGAGAAGGAGCAACACTTGCTGTTGCCTTTAACTCGACTTATAGATATATCGAGGACGTATTGTCAATTGGCAATTGTAAGTTCCATTATTTTGTCGATACGATATTCATGTATCCTGGAGAGCTTGTGATAAAGGATACCACAGAGTCTGACACATCTCTTTCATATTTGGATAATTTACCTGAAAAAGACTGAAATGTAATCTAACAAATATGTTCTCTGATAAAAATGATTACCTTTACTTTTCTAACGTCATCTTCCCTTCGCAGTACAGTTAAGGTGCGCAATGGAAATATCGACTAAATTTTGTATTGAAAAATCTATTCGAATTCGTAATCGGGATTGCGATTATTTTTAGCACATTATTTATATCGGATAATTGTAATTATGATTAATAACTACATATTAAGGACGATTATATTTTATATTAAGACTAGTCACGTAATGCTGCAGTCACGCGATTTTAGCACATTGGCTTGAAGTATTGATGTTACTTGGCATAACCAAGTTAAATTTCCAAGTTTAGCATATAAATATTTTCAAAACGCATTGTAGTTTCTAAAAAGTGCTGTGATCCTGTCTAAATTCTGCAATTTCATTGTTAAAATTATACATGTATGCCCGAATGCTATATTTTTTGCTGGTCAGCGGCATGAAATATTATTTTAATTAAATTGTTTTAAAGATTTCATCAGAATCGCAGCACTTTTCAGATACCTTAATAGTTCTATAGTTGAAATGTAAAAGCTTACTTTGATCCATAGAGTGTATGCCCTTGCACTAGATCGATTTATTAAGACCCCCCATATTACCCTCCGATGTACTTTCATACAAATATACGGCAGTGTCAATAGAATACGTAATGAACAGAAAATATATTAATAAGAATACATATTTTGTTGAGAAAATATTACTTGATCAGTCTCTCACTGCATACAAACTACGTCACGTTGAAAGAAATGACGCCATATTGACAAGTGTATTGCGATCAGTGCATTGTTTATAACTTGTTATGTGGAATTTAACCTAAGACAAAACAACATGCTTTAGTAAGTTTTTATGTAGTTTGATGATTTCTTACTGGTTAAATTAGCAGATAAACTCATTTTGTGGTATTATAGAGAAATGTTGTATGACGTATATTGTGTATGATGTCGTAGTCAAGTTTTCCCGTACAAATTAGGCTCCGCCTCCTTTTTGTAACCTTAACTGTGCTGCGTTACTTATACAGCATCTTCATTTCTCAATCGATTGCATGCAGATTGTATATATCTCAGTTGACTCGATACGCACGAACATGCTATACATATGAACACTTTCTTAAACGACATAGATTATTGACAAACAAGTTGATAAAACAAAAATATAAGCAGTCTCGATGAAAGGCATCATTTTGTAAGTTCTATAATCGATACAATGACCTTGTCAGAAAAAAAAGAATTCATCATTATGGATTTTTCCGTCATTTCCTGATCATGACAAGGAGTACACAAGGCGGATGTGACTGTTCAGCAGGGGATGCTCACTCCTTCATAACACCTGATCCCACCTCTAATGTTTTTGAGGTCCGTGTTTGCTCTGCTCCTATCATGTATTTTTAGGTCACCTGAGTAAACTCGGGTGACCTATTGCCATCTGTTTTCGTCCGTCGTCGTTCGTCGTTCGTCGTGCGTCGTTCGTCGTGTGTTAACATTTGAACATTTTCAGCTTCTTCTCTGCAACCACTGAACCAATTTCAACCAAATTTGGCACAAAGCATCTATGGGTAAGGGGGGAACAAAAATTGTGAATTTCATGATCCCTGCCCCCCTGGGGCCTGAGGGGTGGGGCCAAAACCACTAAAATTAATGCAATCTTTAAAAATCTTCTTCTTTACTCCTGGACATCAAGCATTCAAACTGTTTGCATGATTGTAATCAGCATTGAGTCCTCTACCCAAATTGTGAAATTCATGGCCCTGGGACAGGGGTACTTGTGCTAGGGTGGGGCTAAATAAGTATATAGTGAAAATGCATTATTTCTTTGAAAATCTTCTTCTCTGCTCCTGAGTATTAAATAAACTTATTACGCAGTACAGTTAAGGCAACACATGAAAAAATATGGTAATGAGGTCATAATGAGGTCTGACGTCATGACAGTTGCCCCATCCTGATTGATCCATATAAGGAAATGGTGCTCAAAATAACTATTTACTGATATTTGCAAGACTATGTAATAAACAGCAATATTTTCATGATTAAATTGAAAATAATTAGTGATTTTCTCATATATTAAATAGCATGTCTTTAAAATAATTCTCTTTTTACTGTGTCGTTTGTCTGCATTCGGCTTCAGCCAATCGCTTGCACTCGGTGATACGGAATGTTGTTTACATCTAAAAAGCGTGGCGACATCAGCTGAGATTTGCAGTGGATTTAAATGCAATAACCACACAATCTTTAAAGAAAATTTGGATAAGATAAGAGACAAGGCGTTGCTTCTCCCTTTTATGAGAATATGAGGACATTACTTCAGAAAATGTCAGAAAACAGAGACGATTTGCACCAGCTCCGTAGATCCATCACTGTAATATTCCAGGCCAGGTATGTATGAGCATATGTAGGTACATGTATAGATCTACAATATGTATTCATGCTTTTATCAACATCAAAGAAAAACCCCGAGTGTGTGTGTGTCCATTTAGATGTATTATTTATAACAGTCAGTGAAAAATTGCAATGCATTGCCTTGTGTGTACCCCCCCCCCTACTAAGTTGCACACTTTATGACTTTTTAGAATTATTAAAATTAAACTGCACTAAATATGTACTCAGTTCTTGTCAATCAACTCATTTTCTTTGAGACAATATGTGTAGTAATGGAGGTCATCAATAACACAAATTTAAACTAAATTAAATGAAATGTTTTCATTGTTTCAGTCAATGATCCACTAGTGACTAGGCCTAAACAAGCAATGATCATGTCTTTTGACATACTAACATGCTACACAATTCAAAAAAAATTTATCAGTGTCATTATGTTGAAAACATAGAACCTCAACTGGTTGTAATTTTCTAGAATTTTTAAATTAATGAAAAAAAAATATTCATTTTTTTTTTGTTTAGATAACATGTACATTAAAAATATTTGTATAATACTTTTATCATTGTAGCTGTCCAGAGTTTCAGGCTTAAAGAACATGGAGAATGAATAAATAAAAAATGTATCATTTCTCCACAGGGTATGTATACTTCTAATTAAAATTTCACATATTTAGAGTATGCATGTGCTTTTTTTTCATCTTGGTAATGGTGAAACTAAGATTTTGTTTAGAAAATATTCTATCAATAACTGTAGTAAATGTCAGAGGTTTCACTTTCCCAGAGAAGTTTTGCAACACAATGTTTTTGCCATTTATATGAATAACAAATTCACTACAGTATACAATGTAGCATAATTTGCATTGTCAAATGTAATGCCATTTAATTCGACAATGTATATTTAGTAATCTCATAGCATATAAATGCATACTTTATATATTGTGTTGTAGGCCTAGCTATTCCCAAATGTTGGACTAATGGATTCATTCAGGCAGCAAGTTAATCCATCATTTAAGGAAACTGGTATGCTCAATATTAGCTATAAACCATACAATATTCCTGGCAAGATTATTGAATTGTTTTGATAATAATTAAAAACTAACAGAAGAATTGAAAACATGTATATGCATTCTCTGTTAAATTTTTAATGCATTTTTTTATTTCACTTTTTTAAAAACAAACTACTTTCAATAATGGTATTTCCTGATTTTTCTCATATTTTCAGAATTCATTTTATCCACAAGAACATGAGGTGATGGAAATAATTTACACCTCCCCTTCATTCCTAGTCTGTCATTGGATTTGTAAAGAAATGTTTATTAAATAAATTTTCTAGAAATAATAATTTGACTTTTTCATATATTTACTATACAGGTGTTGAAAGGCTATTAAGATTTGAAAATCTTACATATTGCATACATATTTTGTGTGGAGGGTACTGATGTCCATCAAGATCTTATTTCCAACATGTACATTGTGTTCATTTATTTTTCAATAATATTACCAAAAACAGGAGACAAAAGACCCCCCTAATTGATTCAAAATAGGATAGGGGACCACCTTTTGATTCTGAGGGAAGGGGGGGGTGGCAAGTTTTTCCAAGTCAGATTTTTTTCATTTTCATGTCAATGAAGGACAGATTAATATTTCCGATCAACAAGATGAAGGACAGATTAATTATTTATTTTTCTCATTGAAAAGTCTAACAAGATAAAAAAAAAAAATTAAAAACTCTGATACCTGAAAGGGCGAGATCACTGATCTTCAAGTATTTATTTCTAAAATCTGCCAACCCCTCCCCCTCATGATCTCGTATGCAGAAAGAAAAGAAAAATTATTAACACAAGTGTGTGTACCATAGGCGTCGGAAGCAAAATGAAAGGGGAGCTATTTGAGAGGGGGAGGTAAAACCAACAGAGAAAGGTAAATTCCAGTGCCTACATTATGTAATCTATATAATTTGCAAATAAGTAGCTATAGGTAGGCTAAGCCCCCCCCCCCCCCCCCCCGGTTCCGACGCCTATGCGTACATTAGTGAGAGAGGGGTATATATACGTATTTAATTAATTTCTTATTAATGGAGGAAGCTATATTTTAATTAACCATTTGTTTTCTACACGAATATAGCAGCAATAATTAGACCTATGTGTGTGTAATACTATAATTCTTTGAGGAAATGCGGGAGGTTTGAAAGACGTCTTTTACCATACTGTAAATGTGTACAATGTATCGAGAACGAATACACAAAATAGAAAGAAATGTCAAAAATTTTATGCATACCGTTTTGATTTAGTTAAAAAAAGAGTCCAGCCCTGTCCGCATGTATATTTATTAAAATTTACGAGGTAAACAAACTATAGCAAGTACTCAAGAGTTATCTCCCATGCTGGGTCAATGATGCGTTTGAAAACTATAATTAGATTGACTCTTTCAAGATTTCAATTCTTAATCAAAAAGTGCAAGGGCAAGGCGACAATTTAAAAAGTAGGTTTTTATTTTAAATTATTTATATTATTGTGTAGTTTTCAAAAAGTGATGCTCATTTCTTTGTAATCTTTTTGTTAATTTATAATTCACGATGAAATTAGGAAAATATCCAATTTTTCATACAATCTTGTCTGTTTAAGCTGAATAACTTAATTATATCGGAAAACTAACTGAATGAGCATCACTTTTGAGAAAGTATAGATACATAGGGACAACATAAAACATTTTGCAGTTAATTTTTTGCTTGCCTTGCCCTTGCACTTTTTGGTTAATTTTGACATGTCATTTTTTGACCTAAAATTGGAACCCACGTGACCTCAGGGGGTCACATGATGTCAAAAAATACCGATGTGAAAAGCGATGGACATACTCTTCAAGATAACAAATAGCTATTTTAACTAGAGTGTCTTCAAAAAAAAATAAAACTGTTATGCATAAAATGATTCGGATTCCTTGAGTTTTTATAGAAAATGTTGCCTTAACTGTACTGCGTAAGTACATAGTTATGATGAGCAAGAGTGCCTCTACTAAAATTGTGAATTTTATGGCCCCAGGGTCAGGGGTTCTTGTGTTAGGGCGGGGCTCTATTGATTATATAGAGAAAATACATGAATTCTTTGAAAATCTTCTTCTTTGCTTCTGGGTATTTAATAAAGTACATAGTTATGATGGGCAAGTTATGATGGGGCGGCGCTCTATTGATTATACAGTGAAAATATATGAATTCTTTGAAAATCGTCTTCTCTGCTCCTAGATTTTATATAAACTAACTAAGTACATAGTTATGATGAGCAAGAGTGCTTCTACCAAAATTGTGAATATCATGGCCCCAGGGTCAGAGGTTCTGGTGTTAGGGGGGGGGCTATATTGATTATACATGTATAGTGAAAAATAACATGAATTCTTTGAAAATCTTCTTCTTTGCTCCTGGGTATTAAATAAACTAACTAAGTACATAGTTATGATTAGCAAGAGTGCCTCTACCAAAATTATGAATTTTATGGCCCCAAGGTCAGGGGTTCTTGTGTTAAGGGCGGGGCTCTATTGATTATATAGAGAAAATACATGAATTCTTTGAAAATCTTCTTTGCTCCTGGGAATTAAATAAACTAACCAAGTACATAGTTATGATGAGCAAGAGTGCCTCTACCAAAATTATGAATTTTTTGGCCCCAGGGTCAGGGGTTCTGGTGTTAGGGCGGGGCTCTATTGATTATATAGTGAAAAAACATGAATTCTTTGATAATCTTCTTCTCTGCTCCTAGATTTTATATAAACTAACTAAGTACATAGTTATGATGAGCAAGAGTGCCTCTACCAAAATTGTGAATATTATGGCCCCAGGGTCAGGGGTTCTTGTGTTGATTATACATGTACAGTGAAAAAAACATCAAATCTTTGAATATTTTCTTCTTTGTACTTAGGTTTTAAGTAGATGAACTACCTACATAGTTATGAGCAAGGGCCCTAATCTTCAAGAATTGTAAATTTCAAGGCCCCACGGTCACTTGTACATAGGGGGGGGGGGGGGCTGTACTTATATATTGAAAATGAATGAATTGTTTGAAATGTGCTCCTTTGTATTAATCAAATATTTTTGAAAAGCATGAATGCCTTTCCAAAAATTGTACAATGTGTGGATCTAGGCCTAAGAGTCCAGGGTTCATGTGTGGTAGTGGTACTACTCATTATTGCTGAATATTACTGATTTGTTGAAATGCATTTTTTGTTCCCCTACCCTGCCTATGGGTATTAAGTAACCAAACTAAGGACCTGCTATAGCATCTGGCTTAAAACATGGATCAAATTCAATCACTTGAAAGTTGTTGAATAATGCTCAGGTGACCTATAAGGCCCATGGGCCTCTTGTCTTTATGGACTTTTGGTCTTGAATGAACATATGAAGATAAAGAAAATCATTCAAGCTTGCTTGTTAGATTACCATATGATTGTCTTTTTCAATTAAAATATCAAAGCATGAAACAGTTGTGTCAGACTCTTGAATATAATGTTCCTTATGTCCACATTTTTCATTCAATAGATTGCATGAATGATGATTAATAACTGAACATTTTTATTAATTGGGGTAAAACATTGCTTACAATATTTAGCTTAAGTGAACCCTTTGATACTTTGATGCATTATGGAATTTTTTTTTTACCCTTAAGAAAAATGCTAAAATTTAGCGTAGTAAATTTTAGTGTTTTCTCATTAGGTATCAAATGCTTTTTAAAAAATATTTATGCACATTAGCAATAGAAAATACTGAGTTAAGTCATTTTTATAACATTTGAAGAGTGTACTAACGGATCTTATGGCAAAAACTGCAGCACACAGTGTGAAAATTGTCTTGGAGATTTTTGTGACAAGGAAAATGGAACCTGTTTGACTGGTTGCAAAACAAACTGGCATGGACCCTTATGTCAAGGTAAAATATTGAAAAGCATGTCTTTATGCATTATTCGAAGATATAAAAGATATTGTTTCTACCCTTGAATGAAATTTGATTATTCTTCTTCACTGATAATCATATTCGACTAGATTAAAAAAATAACTCTGCAGGATTATTACTTATTGAGCGAAAATTGACATTTCATCGCCAACTGTAGTCTGTATTGTTTCCCTTAAAATAATAAGAGAAAGTATTATTCCATATATAAAATGATTGAAGCTGACCAAAATGCAAACTTAATAAAAAACTCAAAAAACATTAACAAGTGCAAAAATAGGTTCAGTTTCAGCTCAGTTAAGGAAAAAAATAAGGGAAAATAATCGGAAATATAATTTAATCAAAACATTGAAATGACATCATTTTATTTTAAAAAATACAAAGTAGCTCGACAGGGAAACTTCATCTGTACTTATAATAGTCATTTCCAGAGTTCGCGATCTTGAGCTCGCACTCGTACATGGATATATAAGGATCTCTAGGGATGCGTGTCTAGACATAATTTTCGTGTTGCATAAATATTCATATTAACATTCACAATTTCTTAATATATTAGATTCTAATATAGTGATTTATTTGCCATGTATGCATAACCTGTACTTACAATAATAAAAGAGAACACCAAAATTAAATTTAAAAATAAATAAGGTTATATCATTTTTATTTTAACATTTCTTTAAATACCTGTTATTTAATTTAGACAACGAACTCTCAACTTGTTTCCTTTTCATCATCCAAATACAACAACCAGTCCGTTATAAGCAGTCTCGCCTGAGAGAAGGGGGTGTAAGCAAAACATATTCAGTGGCGGGGGTGTACTAAAAATCCCTGACAATCAGGGTTTATTATTAAGTTTATTATTAAGGTGACACAAAGATATAGTTGCCATGTTTTTTGTAGTTTTCTGTATTTCGATATTGGTGGAGATGACATCTCTATGTACAATTCTCACATCCTCTCCCTTCCAGACACGGAATATCGTTATAAAAGTTGAAAAGGGGTGGTGGTAATTCAAGTCATGACTTAAGCATTTTGACAAGTAAACAAATATATTTTTGTAAGTGGATTATATGGTTTTCTTATTCATATTACTGATATAAACATAGAAATCTAAGGTTTTTGTGCATTAGAAAAACTTCAGATTGTTGCAAGTGACCTTCAGAAAAAAATTCACCATTTTAATAATAAAGGTGGAGTTTGCATTGTAGCTAGGGCAGAGATAAACAGACGTCTGCAAAGACCATGGAAAAAATTTAACAGAAAAATGAATAAAGAGTTAATGTTGAACACGTTCTTTGTGCATTTAATCTGAACCGCGCTGTAGGTACCCTGTGGAGACATCCAAGATATGCGTAAACTACGAGTCAAATTTTTCGGTGCCGTGTCATATGGAAGAAAAATCTCTATAATGCATAATTTAAACCTTATGTACTTTAATAGATTTCAAAGTATCTTACTCTCTTATTTAATGAGGGTAGGACATTTAAAATTTTTACACTATAGATGTACTAGAATTAGGCAAATAATACGTCTCAGACTTTTTAACCTTTCAAACAATCCCTCTTTGTTGTCAGCTGGCAGAGTACGAGCCGTGTTCGAACTTGCTTTACAAGAAATGTCTAATAAGACAATCTCAACTCGTCTGTGTCTATGAGCTGTCTCTCACAGTATCCTCTTTCCAATAAATATTTATGCATGTATTTTTTTTAATTGATTATTTCGCACTCATTTATATTATCATCAGCTTATTTTACCTCACATTACTTGTGTAACGTATTAACAATTAAAAGAAATAACAGCGTACAGTCATGTTCATGTTTATTCCATGAATAAAAAATAGCTAAGATATACAAATTAAATTATATGGTATTTGAAATCAAGGGAAAACCTAATAATAGAATATAAGGCATAATTCTCCAATAAATTCTCTAAAAATAGAAACAAATAAAAAACATCAACCAAGCTTTTCGTTATTTTAAGCTAGAGGTTGTTTCTTGTTTGGCATCTGCTTTCTTTTTAATATGTTGACTAGAATGGAATGGTTTGTTTTATTCTCTCGTTATAGTATCAGCTTCAAAACAAGAGGAGGAGGAAAATGATACAGCCATTATTGGAGGGACTGTCCCGGCAGTCTTAATTGCAGTTTTCGTTGGAGTTATCATATTAATAATATACAGGTCAATATTACAGTTCCATTTGCAAATAATACTCTATTTTCTAATTTCTCCAATCAATACCAGATTTAGAGAAGAGAAGTGCTGTCTTCAATATTTCTCTGTTACATTGTTGAAATTATGAAGTCCAAGTTTAATTATAGGGCAATATTCAGATCTTATTCAGAATATTATTTTAATCTGTGATATATATGTCTTGAGCGTATTTTTTTTAATTGCTCAATTTATATTCATCGTCCAAATATTCAGTAATGTTACACATCCATGTAAATTGGTAGAATCTGATTCGTCAAGAAATATTTGTTAAATAAACACTTTTACCCGCTGAGTAATGAAGCCACGGCTTCCATCGTAGGAACAGTTAACATTGTTTGACGAATGATATTCCAAAAATATTGACTGTTCAGAATTTATGCTTGAAAGGTTCATTGTAAAATACATAAGTATAAAACAAACAATGAAATATATTCAGTATATGATAAATATTAAGTGTAGTTGAGTGTTGCATTGAAAATGTCCACCCCAAGAAAACCATTGTCAACCAAGGCTGCTGACAATTGTTTTCTTGGAGTGAAAATATTCAGTGTTTCACTAACTACATGCAATGTTCATATAATTTTCCGGTTTTATAGACGGCATAGAAACAACGGTGGTAAAGAGGGCCTCATGGAAAACGATAGATA